TAACTCGTACAAGGCTCCGGAACCGCTCAAATTGAAGAGAATTAAATTATCTAAAAGAGCTTTATGATGAAATTGCCGAAAAAAATTGTTTGAAGTCCATAAGCCTGAAAAAACCAAAAATTTACAAAAAAATTTCCGTTGATTTGCTTATGATTACTCAAAAACTGCTGACACTAAAAAAAATAAACTGCAGATCTGAAAAATAGACACTTGAAGCTTCAATTTCCTTTTTTTTATTTTCTCTATGACCATTTCCCTCCAAATTTTGGGATTTTTTAATATCCCTTAATTTCTGTGCCTAGTGTATATACCTAATATTAATACCTTGGGCATCATTTTCTCAATACCATCTAAACACTGTTCAAATTAATGTAGACGAATACCCCTAAGTACGCATAATAAATTATTACAGAAGATTGTAAACATTATTAAATTATCTGGAATATTAGTAGCATAAGAATTATTATTAATGTATCTTAAGTATGACATAAAAGGCACAAACGAAGATAATTTCATTATAAGCAAAGAAATCTTCGTATAACATAGTCCCAGAAAAAAGAAATCCTCTCTCACTTGCTCCATTTTGACTATAGTAATGGAACATTGTAATAGCATCAGCGCTTCTTCATAATGTTATGTTAACGGTTCCTGTTGACTTAAGGTAAATCAACAATAAGGTATATTCTCTGAAAATGAATAAACTGAATACTATCTAAATAAATTAAAATACATATATCTGAATATAATAAAATTAACAAAATTAATTAAAAAATGGAATATTAGAACCAAGACATCAAAAAAATTAAGTTATAAGGTGATTTAGAGCATCTTATAGGACGGTATAAATGGTTTCTAAAATAGTTTTTATATTATATAATCCTTTATAAAATATATATAAAGGCAGTATCAAATTTCTTGTATTTTCAATATTTGTACTATTTACCTAATTTTTTTTGTATTTAACCAACGAACTCATTGCCTTTAACAAAGAAAGCTCCAAAGCATTTAATTAGAAACTATTAGCCATTTTCTTGAACAGCGCACTGCTTAAAACGCAATCCTGTCGTTTTCCAGTTTCTTGATAGCCTCTGACACTACTTCGATGAGTTCTGTTCCCAGGAGGTCACAACCTCTAATTACACATTACCGTTATTTCTCTGGATGAGCTTGTCGCAGATCTGCAGTTTTATCCCGTTTCAAAATAAAAAAAGTATCGTTTATGTCTATTGTAACTGAAAATAAAAATATAAATTAGCAATTTATAAATCAGAAACTATAAAGCAAGTTTATTTAAAAGCAAATTTCCACACCACTTGCCGTGAGATACTGCTCTTTGATGCTGATTTGTTGAGTTGGGTGTTCGCAACAGCCCCATCATCTCACACAAAACAAGGTTTAATTCTTTTGAATAAGACAAACTGTAAAAGAGTACTTAACAAGTAACCAGCAAAAAACTCAAGCAGTAATTAATAGTGATGAATGAAACACAAAAATAAATAATCTCTCCTGATTTTTATAACACTTAAAATTTTGTGGCTAATCTTCGAGTACTGGTACCAGGGTGCGGAGTTCATTTAACTGCCTTCGCTTCGTCACCGTTGGCCCGCACTAACTACGTGCACTGTTAGTTGTCAATACACACATTTTTTTACATAGTACACATCCACAAATATACAAATACATGGATATTACAGGGTGGGCTTGCTACAATGTTGAACCAATCTGACAAACATTTTCTTATTTGGTACTTATTTATAAGTCGGTGTAATATATCTGATTCGTCTTTTTTGCTCCTGGTGACTCTAAAATGACACATCGTTAAGTTATACAATATTTTAAATTCTGAAGTTGACCTCCAAAGGACCCCTAAGTTCGACCTCTGGGATCGTACGGCCCTCTTAAAAACTTACAACTTTTGTTCTGGAAGTTTTTCAATTGGATTCTATCCTCCAAAGTTATTCGGGGTGATCGATTGAAATGGGACACTTTAAAAAAATCCTGAAAGCATAAAATGAAACTATATAAACATTATAAAACTATAATACAGTGTGTTATTTAAATCACTTTAAATTTATTTCAAATTCACGGTCTTAAAAAAATTTTATGCGGCTTTCGAGGATAAAAAAGCGGTATCCTATTTCAAAGTAGTTTACAATGGGATCATTTTCACTGCCTACACAATCTAATCTCGAATTTGTACCATTTTCAAGCATTTAGCCCCACTGTGCGGCGGCGTACACAAAAATTAAAGTGCATTTTAAAAAACTAATAATAACTAAAATAATTCCACTATTCATTAGATTAAAAAAAAATCTGATCAGGTTCTGGCGAACACGTACCTACTATTTATTACCCCTAAAAAAACTGACCCCCACTTATATACAGAGTAGCCCATCGAAAACGTACCGCAAGGCATTACAGGGTAGTAAAGAACTTTTCGGCAAAATCCAAAAACAGGTCAAATTTGTTTCTGAGGGGGACAACTTTTGGCTCAAAAAGCATACCAAAATCTTCAACCCCCTAAGTGGAGGTGCTATCCCCTAAATTTTTTCAAATGGGAATGGGGGTCAAGTGGGGGGTCATTAGAAAAAATTTAGGGGATGGCACCCCTACTTTCTTACT